TTCCAGGGGCATTTTCACCCATATATGGATTTTTTTTTTTTTTTTTTACTTAGAGGTATGCATCACCTTTTATGTCAAATTCTAACATTCAAATTAAATTATATTAGAATAATAACACAATACCACTGTTACCAGTTATATTAAATCATTAAAAACAAAATCCATCTTTGCAGTGCAGAGGAGACACAGAAGCAGCATCAGAACTGGCATTAATATATTTATACTCCATTTACAATTGCATAAATAAAGCTATGATATATTCAATTCTTTCAATTCTTAATTCAATATTTAAATATGAACTGATTTCTAATTGTAACATTTTAATTACAGGGTACTTTAAATGTGAAACTAAACCCGCCAGTAGGTGGCGGCAAGTCACTGTCTCAGGGAGTCATTCATACAAACGATTTGTTCAAACGGCTGATTCATTCAGGAACTGCAAGTGATTGTTCATTGAATCGTTAAAATGATTCGTTCAAAACGCGGATTTCAGTCAAGAAATCATCGCTGTCTTTTGCATTGAGTCTCTGCTACGGTTTCATTTTGAAATTCTCGTCAGCGAAATAAAGGGAAAACAAACAATATTGACAATATTGTTTATAAAATGTAACAATGTTAATTTAACTGTTATAAAATAAATATCATATTTGCTATTGTGCACGGGAAAACAGCCCTCTTGCTGATCAACATATGATATATAAAATACAAAAACTTTATACGTCTTAGGGAACATACCTATAACTGCACTGACACATCACGCAGTGAAAGCAAGCATGAGAGACAAATGCGATGTCAGCTCGCAGTGCGCCCTCGTACATAGTTAACTTTAAAGTAAAACAATGATTACAATATCATAATAGACAATACACATCGCACACCACTACGCACATAAAGAATGAACTTACAATTGAACTGAAATTAACCAGCTTTCTTCTCCTCTCCTGCTGTTTCGCGTGCAGGAGACAGACGTAATGCTGGCGCGAATGTGACGCGAAATGTCACGTGAACGAGCAAATCCACAAAGAACGAATAGTAAATAAAAAAGTACGCTAATTAGATAGTTTTAATTTGGAAAACATTTAGATATGTCTAACTCAAATTGCCATTGAAAATTTAAGACCTTTCATAAGTCAAAATAAGACTTTTTAAGACTTTTTAAGGCTATAAATTTTTAAAATCTAATTTAAGACTTTTTAAGGACCCGCGGATACCCTGTAGAATGATTTACCGCAGGATTATAGCATGATTTGCCATGATACACCATGTAATAGTATTGTTTACAATAGCTGCGTCCCAATGTGCATACTATCCATCCTAAATAGTATGTGACATTAGTAATTTTCAATACTATTTAGGGCGTAGTATGCACATTGGGACGCAGCTAATGATTTACCATGTTTCTTCTTCAGAACCGGTGCCCAGTTAACCAATTCCCTGGAACCGTTAGTATGCCTGCTTAACGATTCCGCTTATCGGTTCCGCTCGTTGCAAATGTGTCATGACGTCACACACGAGCTGCGTTATTTTGATTCAGAACGCAGCAAACATGACATCGAGGCAGAAGCGCTCGTTTGGTTATATTTCACGCGAAAAGACGACAATATATGAGGTGCCGTCTAGGGCTTAAATCAAACTTCATTCACGCACACAAATATGAAACACTTGCATATACACGTATACTAAGTAGTCAAACATACATGTATACTGCTGAATGCTCAAACAAATACATATGAAATGCACAACGACACACCTAAAGTCGCTCACGCATACATGCAAACTCTACACACACGAGATGCGCAAAACTCTCCAGGCACATACTCATATGAGACGCGCGCGCGCACACACAACTTAAACTGGAATGTCACTGTTTCTGTCACTGCGACTTCACGAACGGGTGAACACGCACACGCACACACACATCACTTTTGAAGTAAAATTGAGGATGCAGTGCATGTAATGCATCGAGATATCAAATTGAACTGAATCGATAACATGATAATCGAACCGAACCGTGAGACCATTGTAGGTTCACACCCCTAATACTCTGTGCTGTGTCAGCGAGTTAATAATAATTAACAAACAAAATAAGTTATAAGTTCAATAAGTTAATACAAACAAACAAATTTTTACTTATTCCCTCACCCAATGAGAATCGATAAGAGAATCGATAAGAGAATCGATAAGGAATCGAATCGATAAGCAATATCGATAATGGAATCGGAATTGTTAAATTCTTATCAATTCCCATCCCTAATCAAGTGTGTCAAAATGAAAGTGAGCCAATAAGTGGTCTTCTACTGCCCTCTGCTGGTCACACAAGTGCTTTTGCATTCAAATGTAGACATATGCTTACACACACACACACGGGATATGTTATTGTGAAAATCTCTTTTAATGGTGTATAAGCATGCATTTAACATATTTCTTTGTGATGTAATAATATAAAACTATATTAAAACTAATAAAAAAATAGCTTTAAGCGTTTGTTTGTTAGCCAATGCTGAAAGCTGATAAAAAAGATTAAAAATGTCGGTAACACTTTACAATAAGGTTCATTTATTAAACAGTAGTTAATGTATTAATTAACATGAACCATGAGCAATACATTTGTTACTGTTTTTGTTCATCTTTGTTAACATTAGTTAATACAAATCCAGCTGTTCATTGTTAGTTCATGTTAGTTCACAGTGCATTAACTAATGTTAACAAGATTTTAATAAAGTATTTGTAAATGTTGAAATTAACATTAACAAAGATTAACAAATGCTGAAGGAGTATTGTTCATTCTTAGTTAATGTTAACTACATTAGTTAACATTAACTAAGAATTCGTCGCGGGGGGCGTTCCCGAGCCCCGCGACGATAGATTTGGATCAAGAACCCCGAGAGAACCTTACCTAGCGTGCAGAGACTTTCTGTTTTCGAGTTATGAGTGAATTTGTACTTGGGGGGCGTGGCCCAACGTTATACTTTCGTATTTTAGCCTTCCTGTGACACAATTGTAAATAGTAATAAATAAAATAAATAAATGCAGTCCATAATACTCCAATAGATGAATTTGGACAAAATGTGATTGTAAATGTTAAAATAATGATTTAATAAAGTCTACATTTCAATTTTATATAACAATATTAGGGAGTAGTATGATGAAATGACAGCAGGGGGCAGTAAAATACCACTTATTGGCTGTTATAGCCATCCAAAATGTTACAGCCATCCAATTTACACTATTATAGCCATTCAAATGAAGAAGTTCAACCTTTTCTGATAATTATTGATGTAGAGAGTCCAGAGAATTGTACTGCACCGGTTTTAAACATTAAGATTTTACGATCATAGATGGAAAAGGCCATTTACAGCCAATACAGGCAATTTACCATAGGAAATGCATGGTTTTAAAGCTTTTCAACAGTTATAGCGCCACCTATTGTCCGATCTCCATGAAACTTTGCATGCTTCTTCACCATGGTATGACACATATGCTCTTCAATTTTTGTCAAGTTCTGAGTTTTTATTTATGATTTATAGGCTTTTGTGTGTATTTGACACGCCCCTTTTCTAAATGACCCTGTTATAGCATACGAAAAATGCAAAAGTTCAACTTTTTTTCAATGATTATTGATCTAGAGAGTCCAGAGAATTGCCCTAGACTGGTCTGGTTCTGATCGGGCGAAAACCCAGGGACTAGTTCGCAAAAGTAGGTTTTTAACATATTCGTGAATATTTAATGAACGATTTGATTGACAGCAATGGTTCTAGAGGCAAAGTTGTTCAGCCTGAGGAGATCTATCAAATGATATGCATATTTTGGGGATGTGTGCAACACCACGTGATTACAGAGCCATAAAACTTGTTAGCGCCAACTAGTGGCCAATTTCTTTCAAAACTCTTACAGACCTCTTGGGCCATGAGTCAAACATGCCCATCGAGTTTCGTTCCGATTGGCCTCCGTTAACCTTGTCTAATAGGTGCTCAAATTCATTGGCCGATGGCGGCCATGTTTTTTGAGTTATGCCAATTTCCTCATACACATTCATGGCACCTTGGACCAAGACACTGCATACCAATTTTCAAGTCAATCGGACTAACGGTCAGGTGGTCATAGCCCTTTTTATGTTTATTTAATGTTATAGCGCCACCTAGTGTTAGATCGACGCGGTTTTTTTACTGTGACCTCAGACTGTCCTCATACACATGTCTCTTGAGATTGGTGAAGATATCTCATTTACTTCTCGAGTTATAGCCATTTTAGTAAAATAGGCTCCTCCCACAACGATCATTTTACTCCCCCTAGCGACCGTGAATCGAAAATTCAACTTTTTTTCAATGATTATTGATACTCAGACTTCAGACAACATGTATGCATTTGTTTGGTTTTGATCGGGCGAAAAACCAGGGACTAGTTCGCAAAAGTAGGTTTTTGACAAAATTCAAAATGGCGGAAAAATTTGCATACCGGAAATGAAATCGGAGATATACGTTTTTTACGTCAGGCCTCCAGCTTTCCAATGATATAAGACACTTGAGTCTACGACATACGGTTTAGGAGTTATGAGCAGTTTCGCGCAATTGATTGCTGTAGCGCCACCTATAGGCCAATCGGGGTCATACTTTCTGAGGCTCTCCTCGATTTTTGTACTACCATCTGACAAAGTTTCAGAGCTCCAGCCCTTACGGTTTGTTCTGCACGATGCGTTTTACGGCAGAAGAATAATAATAATAATAATAATAATAATAATAATAAAAATCAGTACAAATACAATAGGTTTTCAGCACTTCGTGCTTGAACACCTAATAATAATAATAATAATAAAAATCAGTACAAATACAATAGGTTTTCAGCACTTCGTGCTTGAACACCTAATAATAAAAATCAGTACAAATACAATAGGTTTTCAGCACTTCGTGCTTGAACACCTAATAATAAAGCAGCTTTGTTTAGCATAGTCTACTTGCCCACATGAGTGTGTGTGTGTGGTAGTTCCCATGATAGATATTTACCAGAGCAGCTCCTTCTGTAAGAGTGGTAGTTGAGTTCTCTCCTTCAGCCACATTTCCCCTTGGTGGGTATCAGGGGTATAAAGCCAACTCCGGTCATTAGAGCACGGGGCATCAACAAGCACCTGACACACATGGACGGAGCAACGCACACAGACAAACACACATCAGAGAACAGGTTTTAACTCCGCAGGGAAGAAAAAAACAGTGTACGAGACTGAAGGGGAATATTTCATGTTGACTTGGGGGACGGCGAACATAACACAAAGAGGAAAGCAGAAGGACAGCAGGGACCTGCCGGAATCGGCCTCATTAGCTCTTTAAAAGAACCAACACACTCACACCGTTCTCTGTGAGACCGGCTGGGCAAATGAGAGAGTGGCTGAGGCAGAGAGAGAGAGAGAGAGAGGTATAGTGGAAACACCACACACACCTGGGGTCAATAATCTCAAATCGCACCTGCGCTAGAATCTTCTACAGTGGTTAAACAAACAACTAACGCAAGCGGCAAGAATCTCCCTGAAAGATTCAGATGAACAATAGAATGAATGAAAAAATGATCCAAACCTCTCTTTTTCTCTGGAAATCCTGCGGCCCCATACCCAGCAAAACCCCTCATTCCTTGCTCTAGCTAAGCTCATCTATCTCGGCTTCCTTTGAGACTACTCTCTCCTCATTAGAACTGGCTGAAACTGCAGTCAAGCTGACAATTGAGCCCCACTGTTTTTCTCCCTGCCAGATTTGTATTAGAGCCTCTTAATTCCCTCTCTTAGCTCTGCTGCCTGTCTGGCTAAGAGAATGCCGGGGGGCACTCTGGAGACCGACGTCACTAAAGGACATGATGGTGTAGAAAGACCCCCGCGGGCCTGACAATGTGATCTAGGAACGGCTGCATTTTTAAGAGGAAGAGCTGAACCTGTTACCCTCATCTAAGTGCCAGCACTGATAAAGTGATTTGATTACGGGCGTCAGAGACATATTCATTTGACATTTCGGGACAGGAGGTTTCATCACCACAGCTTGAACGCGTACCTGTGTCCCCTCCATCGAGGGTCCCGGGGATCTTAAGCATCTGTCCAATGTGAATGGAGGTCAGTGAGTAAAAACAAAACCAAAAAACAACACTGCCACCTTCTGGTTGGATCGGTGTATCACAGCCATGTACTTACACAATTCACTGCAGCTGAAATGAAAAACCCCAACAACTTTTATTCCTTTTCACACAAATTATGATTACAGCAGCAGATTATTGATTATTAAAGACTTACTTTCCTGCGGTTAATTGCACAATACTATGTTATGACCTCAAAACAAGGTGTTGTATGTAAGTTTTTGACTGTACTAAAGAATACAAATACCATAATATGTTTGCAGATATTTAGGAATTGAAATGTGGTTTTTTTCCGTGTCGGAATGTCTGTTTTTGTTTTGGTCTGTGCGATACCCGCACGTTGCCAATTTACCCAATACTATTTCGCCACCACAGGTTGCCAGTTGGCGGAAAACACAGCATGTAGCAGCCATGGAAGCCAGCGAACAAACTGGGTCAGAGATCGCAGATTCTACCTGACCTAAAAAGCCTCCGCACTCATCTAAAAATCTCTATGAACGGAAGCATTAAAACGCATTATTACACGGCTCTGTGGAATGCTTGATTCTGATTGGTCAATCGCGTCATCCAGTGGTGTGTTATTCCTTGATAACAACCGCTGAAAACAGATAACACAGGCTCATCTGGGTTACTGAAGTCACCAGCGCTATACACTTTTTTTTTTCCGCTTAGTTTTGCTTTTGGTGAGCCAATAAAATAGTAAAACTCAGTCGAATCAATATTTTGTGTACAGTTATTTAATTATGCCATCCAGTAACATGGCCTCGCTCTCTCGTTTCATACAAACGCAGCTGCTGCCATTTTGTGAAACACGAGACCCAATAAAAGAGCTCAAAATCTTGTAGAAGCAAGCTAAAATGGCATGGTAGCTTCAGCAAATACATTTATATCTCTAGTTTTCTTTTGTTAACACTATCGGTTAAGTTTAGGGTAGGGTTTAATGTCGGTGGTACATTCTTTTTTTAAATGTAATAGAGCATTAACCTTTTAGCACAACTCACCGGACATTTAATTTCTGAACTGCTGTGATGCGTACAACATCCAACATAATAAAACAATGCCAAATTCATGTTCACCAGTATCGGATAAAGCTGAACATGTTTTTAGCGCCAGCCACTGAACATTTCACTTTGAAAGGGACGTGAGACATGCAAGAAGCAGCATAATACCATTTTGTAGAAATCTCGCCACAGGGATGTTTTTTTCAGTGAGCCTCTGTTGAAAAAAACAACAAAAAAACGTCTAGCATCCCAGCCACCCTGAGCCCTTTTTATTTAAAACCATCACGACACCTCCTGTCGCATTGTGTATTCGTTTACCTTTCTGCTCAGTGGCCCGACTCTTCTCTCACCGCAAGAAGAGGATAATACTCAGTCAGCAGTATCTGGGAACCTTAAAAGCTCCATATTCACTGCTTGATTGGCATGTTTGGCCTGGAGGGCTGCTAGTGACCTGCCTAGTGTCTTGTCACCCCATGATGAGTGGGAAAAAAATGCGTACATATGCAGCTTTGCCTTCAAATGACTGAGTGTGCAGAAAACCTCTATTCCACCTGGCAGCTTTTTTGGTTGCTTTGAGAGGGAAAGTAAGGGCTTGCACTAAGTGTTACGCCAACTGTGATAAATGAGGGAGATTGGAGGCAGCATCGGTACTCATGTGAGAGTGTCACTCTGACATTCATAAATAAGCAGGGTTTTTTTTCCCAAACACTTGGATGGATGACATTCAGGCGAGGTTAATTCAGTGCATTTAGCTTCTGCAGTTAAAAGAATCTTACAAATGTTAGGTAATGTTCCCTCCTATGGAGAAGTCATTTGATGATTCGTTCTGGGTAAAAATCAGTGCTTAAAATAGCAAAATGATGGCTTAAATGTTGTATGGCTGTGGCAGATGAGCAGAGGTGAGAGTGGTACCTTGTCGTAAGCCCCTGGCCGCACGCTCCCAATGCACCGGCCGTCCAGGTGAGTCACTGAAAGCAGATGTCGTAGTGTAGGAGGAAAATATGATTCCAGAGTCTTCAGTAGCCAATCATATCTGTGCTTATCCAGCTCATTACAGTGCAAGAGACCTGGGAGTTAACAAAAATATAATTGTAGGGTACAACAAAGTCATTTACATTTAAATGGTTCATTTAATGAAAAAATATATTTTAAATTAGAAGTTCTATGTACTACATAAATGTGCTGTAAGTTTCAGTACTGAACAACCAAGTCTAAGAAACATAAAATACACTACTGTTCAAAAGTCTGGACTCAGTTGTATGCAAGTATGGGTATGATTTAATTTGTATTTAAAGAAGTCTCTTATGCTAACCAAGGCTGCATTTATTTGATCACAAATACAGTAAAAAGTAATATTGTGAAATATTATTTCAATTTAAAAGAACCTTTTTCTATTTTTTAATGATTTAAAATGAATAATTTTTAAAAATGTAATTTTATCACTGTGATGGCAAAGCTACATTTTTAGCATCGTTACTCCAGTCTTCAATGTCACATAATCTTTCAGAAATAATTGTAATATGCTGATTTGGTGCTTAATAACAATTTCTTATTATCAGCAATTATCTTATTATTAGCTGAAAACTGTTGTTCTGTTCAATAATTTTGTGTAAACTTCTACTGACTATAAGTAACGCTGCAAGTACATATCAACTTATTCTACTAACCTAATCTAATCGTCTACTAATAATACTCTAATTAGAGTTAGTTGACTTGTAGTTGCAAATTAATGAGAATTAGTTGACATGTAGTTGCAAAGTTACTTCTAGTTAGTAGAATGTCAAAAGTGGACTATCGAAATAAAGTGTAACCTAAAATTGTCAATTATTCCACTAGACTACACTTGGAATCTCCTGTTTCTCTGCTCAAATCCTCACTTATGTCTCTCTCTGTTTTCACAGAGATGCTTTAAAACTTTACCCCCAATTTCTTCACTTCTAATTCCTGTTGACATCCTTTACTTCAAGAATGATTAAAAATTAGGAAAGGCAACATACCAGCCCACTTATTTTTTCTTATTTTAGCATTTTTAATTATCTGTGCTTTTAAAATTTCACGAACATAAAAATAAATCAGTTAATGCAATATAATTACATATGTACACTACACTATTTATAAAAGATTTGGGGCCATTAAGTTTTTTAAAAGGAATGGATATACTTATATTCAGCAAAGATGTATAAATTGGTTAAAAAAAAAACAGCATATTAATTTACAAATAACAAATAAAGCTGTTCTTCTGATCTTTGTAAAAAAAAAAGTATCAAGTTCAACACAAATATTAAGCAGCACAACTGTTTTCAACATTGATAATAATAAATGTTTCTTGAGCAGCAAAACTCAAGAATGATTTCTGAATGATCATGTGACACTGAAGACTGGAGTAATGATTGAGCTTTGCCAATAAAGGAACATTACATTTATATATATATACTTTAAATTGTAATAATATTTTACAATATTGCTGCTTTCACTGTATATTTGATCAACAAAATCCAGCATTGGTGAGCATAAGATACTTTTTTCAAAAACCTTCCCAACCCCAAACTTATGAAATGACACAACATGGTTTATCATTAGGTATGTTCCAGTCAGAGATCATTTCACATATATTAGGCATGGCCCTGGCTATGGCTAACCTGACTCTAGACTAGGTTTGTAACTTACCAGGAGTGGCTGTCTGTAATATGGCCAGACTTTTCCCCCCAGGAGCTGCACAGAGATCAAGCACATTTTCTCCTTCCTTCACATTCAAAGTCAGTACTGGGAGAAGAGAGGCTGCATTCAGGAGGTAGTACTGCTTTAACCAGCCTGGGTGGTGGCCTTGGGTGGGAATACGCACTGGATCCCGATGAATAAAACACTGCAGGGGGATGTGTGTCGTATGGGACTGGGATTCAGGATGTGTCGTCTGTGGAAGGAGGTTTGCGTATCCAAGCGCTGTGAGACACTGCTTGAGGTTTGTAAGGTCACTGAAGCGATTAAGCAGGACACCGTATTGCCATGAGAGTGGATTCAGAAGCACATCCCTGAAGACATCAAACATTTATGTGGGCTAAATTCAGAGATAAATATGTCGCACTTCTGTATATCAGGTAAAATCTTACATTTCCAGAAAGCTAATACTTAGAACAACAACAACAAAGTACTGTGAAAGTATCATGGTTTGGTAACACTTTACAATATGGACTCATTTGGGTCCTGTTTTGTATAATATATATTCCAAAACTGTCGCTTTATCTAAAAGTTGTGGAAAGAGCCAGGCCATAGTAGCCTGTAGGGATGACAAGTTATCCTATAAGGCTCTAAATGATTTTAGACCTGTTGCTCTGACATCATTGGTGATGAAATGTGTCGAGAAATTTGTTAGGGATGAATTTGTAGTCTTTTAGTTCCGTTGGAGTTAGCTTACCAGGCCAGAAGGGGAGTTGAGGATGCCTCATCCACCCTGTTAAATATGATTATGAAACATCTGGAGGGAAGTAAAACCCATGTTAGATTGCTCTGTGTAGATTTTTCTTTAGCTTTTAATACTATTCAGCATCATGTGTTAATAAAGAAACGGATTTCAGAGTTTAAATTAGAATTTAAGATAGTGGGGTGGTTATTATATATTTTAAGAGATAGAATGCAGAGTCCTTTTCAGACACCCTTATTACGTCCACAGGTTCTCCTCAAGGATGTGTTCTCACCCTAACTCTACATAATTATATTGTAAGCAAACACACAGATGGGCTCATTTTAAAATTTGCTGATGATACTGTTATTGTTAGTTTGCTGACTAAGGATGAGAATTGTCATGGTCCAGCGGTGAATGATTTTATGACATGGTGTGACGGTGCCTTTTTGTAAATGTAAAAAAAGACCAGAGATATGGTAATTGATTTTAGAGTCCTTTGGCTTCTCGACCGGGCTTATCATTGATAATAAGTTGCGTTTTGATACTCATGTTGAAGCAGTAAGCAAAAAAGGCCAGCAACGGTTACACTGTCTTCTTATGACCATGTACTATGCATATTATATTGAATCTGTCCTTTGCTTCTCTATATGCTGTTGGGATGGTAATGTTAATGTTAAACATTGAAACTCATTGAATGGCACTGTCAACCAAGGTAGTAAGATTATTGGCATTAAGCAGACAAGTTATCACATAGTTTCGAACGGGTTGTCTTACAGAAAGCTAGAGCTATCCTTGCAGGTTGTACTCATCCACTGTTCCATGAATTTAAAATGCTTCCTTCTGGTTACAGTATGCCTGAACTTAAAAGCAATCGGTATAACTAAATTAAACTAACAATGAGCTAAATATTTTTACAGCATGTTTTTAATCTTAGTTAATAAAAATGGTCATATACATGGATGTTATGGTCATACAATGTTAACAAATTCGACTTTTGATTTTAATAATGTATTAGTAAATGTTAGGATTAACATTAACGATTAATACAATGCTTTAGAAGTATTGTTCATTGTAGTTAACCATTGTTAGTTAACAAATGAAACCTTATTGTGAAGTGTCACCCATGGTTTTAAATGTAAAACCATAATAAATGTAATGCCATAATAACCTAGTAAGTGAAAGCATGATAAAAATGAAGAATGAAAACGTTTTTACAGCATTTAAGAAAATGATTATTTTGAAAAATCCTATTCCCACCTTGCACTACGCCACTGCTCTCCTAGCTCTTCACTGTACTGTGCATCAAAATGCTTCAGTACAGTCTTACAGACTTGCCTCCGAGGTGCAGATTTACATTGTGCTGCAAGCTAATGATGTGAACAATTATTTAAACATATTTAAATAATTTAAAAAAATGAAATAAGAATGATTATAACTAGATATCTTATACCTGATACACATAAAACACATTTATAAAGTGTTGCCAATGTTTTTCTGTAGTAATAAACCATATATCTAATACCCTCTCGGTGTTTAGTCCACTCACCGTATTAGAGACTGTGCAATAAGACGAGGCGATTAGAGTACACTTAAAATACTTCAGAGCGAGAAGATGACTGCTTGAAAATCCCTTTATGCAGCATAATTTCGGAGAAAACATCGATGTTGGTATACCGTTTTTTTTAAAGTATGTATTGTCCGTCTTCTGACCTTGTTCCCCCAGAAACGTGGATTATGATATTAGTTCCGTGTTTCTGTGTTCACATGTCGGCTTTCGTTCATGCGAATTCGTTCCGCGTCAGGTCATCTTCATACTGTTTACTGTCTATGTTTTCTGGTCGGATGCATTGCGAACAGCCCCAACAAACACCACCACACTGGTTCAACAAAACCCACCAACTGGTGAAAGTGTTGTGAAATAAAGTCCGTACACTTTATTTGGTTACACTTTATTGTGTGCCCTTGTTACAATCGTGTGCATTGTAAAAAAATAAAATAAAAAAAAACATTATATGATATGATCAATAAGTTATTTGACCACATATAGGCCTAGGCTATTTTTACATTACCTACTTTAACTCATCAACATAAGCTGAGGTTTTCATATATATATATATATATATATATATATATATATATATATATATATATATATATATATATATATATATATATATATATATATATTCATTCTAGAATTGTGGGTAGGCCTACATTTCGAGTCTCCCAGATAAACCTTTTATAATAAAAAATAAAATAAAAAAATTGAATCAGTTTTGAATAATAACCTTTATGATAATAACACAAACTATATTAAAATATCTCTACAAATAATGCTTTATGTATATTTAGGGTGGGGGGGATTATTGGAAATATTAACTGACTCCCACTCCACCATATTATTGACTGTCTCAGCCTCCTGATTCATACATTCAACTTGAATTATCATGGAACAATTAAGTCTAATTTTCAAATATTTTTTGTGTTTACTCTATTAAGTTATATAAACAATTACAAAGAATACAGAAAATATATATTCTATGCAATTTAATTAATAAAAAAAATAGTTTAATAAATGAAAAATTAATTTTCCAGAAATTAAACAAAAGTGTGCTTTGATGAACACAGAAAAACATATTTTGATGGTAAGAACAAGACAATATATGTAATTCGCTGAATGGAAACATTTTGTTTTTTATAAGAATTGTTGAAGGTTAACAATGTTTGCAAGATAAATGAGTTTAAATGATCTCATTGATACATTTTTTACATTATGAGACTTTTTGATGTTGTGATGGGAATGACGTTTTGCAGTGCAAGTTGGCAAATAGATTTAAAATACTCAAATTATATTTAAGCTCAGTCGTGGCCATTATTATATCTTTACATCAAAGCATGTAAACATTGTCTTGACACAATTCTAACAAAATTCAACCAAATTTCATTCATCAAAATGTAAGATGGCAAAATAGCCCACAATTGAAGAATCACCCAATTACTCAAATAAGTAGGCTATACTTTAGGGTTAGTTGCTGCTTGTAATTATGCATGCTTGCAGGACTGGACACCATTAGTTAAGTGTTACCAAAGTCTCTTTCGTCAAAAGTAGGCCTATTTGTTAAATGTTTAAGGCTTTTCGGGACTTTCACACTCAAAATGAGAAAGCTTTTTTGTTGTTCTTTGCTCATTTTAATTTTGCAATCAGAGTTGTTCAAAAGGAGAGATTTTAAAAGTACCAGATACTGTGATATGCAAGCCTAGAAAATGATGAGCATAAGTGCTTTCAGTAATTAATAATGCACTTTAGAATGCTATGGATTTTGGAGTGATGATCAAAGTTTGATTACAATTACTGGCCTAATGGAAGGCCAAATATGGAGGAAGACCTGAAAGATGTGTGATGGCGTTCTATTGAGGTATATAGACGTTAACATTTTAAGCCTAGTTTCACTTTTTTTAGTGAGTATAAATCATTATAATCAGTATAAAATATTAACTATACCAAGGGTGATTTTAAACCTTTTACATTTTGTTACACTTTCTGATTGCAGATTGCAGAAGTAGCCTACAACAGATTTTCCTTTGAATTTTAATATTATCCTTGCGAAAAAAAAAGAAAAAAAACTATAAGTATAGGCATTTTTATTTTATTGTTTTCCATGAATTATACAGAAAGCATCTCCACAGTTCAACTCTCTTTTATAGTTTTACCGTGATGGTGTAGTTACGGCATGTACCAGCAGAAGGCGCCGCTAACAGTTGTGCAAATGTGTGCATTATCAAACAGTTGTAATGACACGGAAATGTGTTGAGTGAGAGTGAAAATTAACAGAATAAACTTTCTCTCTTTCTTAATTTGACATTCATATTAAATGTAAACGGGTTGCAAAAGGCGCAGGTACTGCAAGCAGAGCAAACTGGATGATGGACAGAAGTTCTCATCAACTTAGTGTGTGGGGTAAAATACAAAACAAAACATCCAACAATGTAAATTATAAAAATCGCAATAGCATAAAATAAATATGAAAGCATGTTTTTACAGTATATGTCATAATACATTAATATATATATATATATATATATATATATGGAGGCTGAGCATTGATACACTTAAAGTAATGCACTTTATCATCTTTAAGAAGATGACAAATGTGTTTTCCTCCCTGATAAAGCACGATGTACATCTAACTCAAAAACGAGCTTGTACAAACTTTAAAATGTTTCAAATCACATGTAAAAGTTTACTTTCTCAAGATCTCTTTATCTGTTGCTGGTGCTATTTGAGAGTATGAATGTCGTTCTCAAAATTAAGACAGCGTAGTGTATAAACGTATAGATGCTGCTGAGAAAAAAAAGAAAGATATTTTCTGATATTTTAAAGGCAAACTGTGTCAAAATGAACTGCACATTTCATATGCACAAGAGCTTAAGATATGCACATGGACCATAAGAACATGTTTGTACAATTTCAAGTACACAAATTTAAACTTTTATATATTTACATATTTTTCAATTCTCTTAAAAAATAGGTCTGTAACATGTTTTCCACACAAAAAAGAAAAGAAAAGAATAAACAACTCAATTGAGTTGCAAATGTCTGTTAATACTGATTTGAAGTATTTTGATAAAACTACAGAAATAAGAACATTATAAGAATATGTCATACAGTGAATGTCCACGTCCCTTCATCTCATAAACACTGGCCAGGAAACAGCTTCTGATGACCATCAGTCATTGGTTGCTTGAGTTCATGTGATCCATCTGGGTATGCCGATTGGGTATCAATTCCTCGCTTATGGGGAATTACATCCACGTAGATTACTACACTGCCCGTGCTTGAAGATAAGAACAAAACAATACTTTGATTGGTTGGGACCCTTAAGAACTGTGAACCACCGAGGGGGGGGAAGCAGAGGTAGTGTTAGGAAATTACATCATGAGTATCGCTGTTCGGCCTCTGCCTAATTGCTACAGGTGGGAGAGGTTTGCCATAGAAATCTGCCAATAAAAGAGAGTCATGGAAGAAAGAAAATTAGGTCAGCAGTCTCCATTTTGTAAAATCAAGGATCAACTAATTTCAACTGACTACAAACTACATCATTAAATTCCTAGATTAAAATGTCACTGCCTGCTCAAAAGAGGACATAGAACATTATCAGAATTCAAAATGTTTCCTGCAAGCATCAGGAAAATAAATCGCATACATTAGTCACAGTGCAGGAAGCAAGTTGTTAAGGAGATTATACAAGCAGCATTTGTTAGGTACAATATTAAAGTGGATGGTTGTGGTATTTCTGTTGGCTGATGACAGATGACTGTACAGGAAGGATGTGGCTGAGGCTTGCTGTGTGGATGGAGAGAAAACACAAAGCTTTAAAGACCAGAATTATGGGAGACACTTACATGGTTAGGAAACAGAATGAGAGAAAAAAAAAATGTTAGTGATGCGCATGCCGGAGATGGAACAGATGCAATGAACCAACAATTACCAGAATGCCTTGTATCTCCAAGAGGCTCAAGTTTGGGGAGCCTAGAAACTTTGGGAGTAGCCCATCCAACTAAAACCAAGAAAAAAAGTCAAATGATTAGCTGTTAGGTTTAAATATATTTCATTAAAATGAAGAAAGAAAAGGGAAAACTAGGACAAATCAGTGGTTATTTTGCACACGCATTTGACAATGAAAATTAATGTTTAGCAAATGATAGAAGAGATTTTCTCTGACTTTCCAGAAGTCTGTTGTAATCCTAGAAAACATTCACCACTGCAATGATTTTTTTTTTTTAGCTCATAGCTTTTAATCAAAATGTCATAACTCGATCTTCCACTTGAAAGACTTCTCTCTGGTGACATATGCTGTACGTCCAGACTCCATCCAATCAAAGACCGATGAACTGAACCCCACTCCACATTTTTACCCTTTTCAATAATCCATTTACTCTGATGTATGCCACAATACAGAAAAAAAGCTATGTTGCTATGCTACTTCTTTTGAAACTTTTCTTCTGTTAACAGGCAAGTAAAGGGACTACTCTTTATGTTCTAGTATTCCATTAAAGGTATTATTTCTATAAAAATATTACTTGTGTTATGGATTGGATTTTAAATAAATATGAGTTGATATAAATGAAATAAATGACCTAAACCTAAATTTGACATGCTGTATTTTCCAGAATACAAGTCACATGTTTTTAATTAACCTAAACATGCTGCGACTTATATAATGCAATTAACATCAAGTTTACAAAACATGGATTTGTGCCGAATGAGAAAGGTAGGTGAGCTTAAGTTTATTTGTATAGTGCATTTCCCACATACCAGTAGTTTCAGTTTAGCTTTAAATAAATCTCTTTAGGCTTGGCATTTATAATAAATGTTGTTTATAATGACTGACACTTTAATTTATGTTTGTTTTATTCTTATATTTTTCATTCTTGTTCTGTTCTGAATATTGTTACATTTGCAGGTTTAACATTTAAAGGATTTGTTGTGGAGTAAAGGGAACTAAATACATGATTATAGCAAATATAATGTTTGTAAATATTTGGTTTTATTTATCAGTGTTTTACATTATTTCTGAACGTAATAAAAAAGTGTGACCAATGCAACTGATCTGTATTTATTCTCTCAACAATGCAATTTTGACCTGGTGCAACTTATAGCCAGTTGTGAATTATTCCACTCCCTTCCTCTGTTGCTTGTTTTCTGACCTGCATGTGCACTATACGAAGTATCTGAAGTATTTTTTTAAAGTAATCAGATGCAGAAGTATTTAAAGAAGTTCTACTGAGACATGCTTGCGGCCAGGACAAGTTGTTTTGCAAATGGAAATACTTGCATTATAAGAATATAACAGTAAAATGTAAGGCATGTCTTGGTGAAAACCTCTCAACCACATTGAACAGAACAAGCACTTCATAAAAGCACTTGGCATGGCAACCTGGACACATGAAACTGTATTCTTATGGCATTCTTTGAAGTGTTTAAAGGGGTCATATAATGCCATTTTTGTAGCCTGGATGCCAGCCCGAACCCCGCCCACAACATTTTTTGATCGGGAAGTTCGGTCTGGACTCGCTCCATTGAGGAGTAATTATGATCGGTTCAGAAATCGTCGGGCCAATCAAATTGCCAGGGCGGGCTTTATACGATGATGGACAGATGATCTGCAGGGACGTAAAAGAAATCGACAGCGCATTCATTTTAAAAGACGAACATAGAACTGCAATCAAGGCATTTGTCGATCGGAAAGATGTGTTTGCCGTCCTTCCTATGGGATTCGGCAAAAGTTTAATTTATCAGCTGGCTCCGATGGTAACTAAGAAGATGGGACGCAATGAAAACCCTGTGGTCGTTGTGGTTTCTCCTTTGGTCGCACTCATAGAGGACCAAGTAAAAGAAGCAACACTCGTTATTTTACTTCTTCCAGCGTGCGTGCATTTGAGTTCTGTAGTTGACAACTGTGCTATGCAAAGTAGTTGACTTACTGCGTTGCTCTCATTGGTTGTAGGTCTATCCAATTGAGTGCAGAGTTTTTTTTTTTTTCTGGTTCGGTTAAGACACGCATCATAATCAAAGCCCTATGAAGCAGTATCAGACTCACATTCTGACTAGAATATGAGTATGACGAAGTCAGGCTACCATTTTTGTACAAGCTAATATGATTCTTTAGAGTCTAAATTAAAACTTTGTAATACACTTTAATTAAAAATTCTCATTAGTATTGTAAGAAAACACTTATTTTACCTGGTCAAAAACAGCTCTGTTTTCAGCACGCCGTTTTAGTGCATATGCCTTTAAATGATAATGAGCTTTGCTCACCCCGCCCCTCTGTTCTGTGTACACCGTTTGTAACACAATAACCATAACGCGTTGTTCATTATAGACGTGGGATTATGAATTATATTGAGAACGTCGCACATAGAAAACATGCCGTAATGTACCCTGAGTGTAAACCTTAGACGCATTCATTGTGAAGTGTGCATCTAGCGATTTGCAAAGATTAATATAAATATTAAAGGTTAATAAAACGTTACACTCACTTCAGTTATTTTGGAGGTTCAGCAGGAACACGAATAGTTGGTACCGGTCCAGAAGCAGCTTCTTAGCAAAACCAGCTTTATACTGACCCTCCTCGTTTATAAGCAGTCTGGTGTGTGAAATGATTCGCGCAAATATGAAAGCATTGACGTTGCTCGTGGGGAATATTGCCTTCGAAAACAAACTCAGCGGTTTGGATTTGGGAACATTAAAATGACTGCTGTGTTCGTTATTACACCCAAGAACAGAACACCACAATCGCTTAGACGCCATTCTGCTCATAGACAGTGCTCCAGCATATCAACAATGACTGCGCCGGTCCGCGCAGACTATGATTGACAGCTCTCACGAGCGAGGGCGGGTCTGTGTTGAAACGCAGCTGTCAATCGTGGGAGGGGCGTGCGAGCTTGTGACGTCACAAGCTCGAACGGCTCGATTTGAGGCAGGGGAAAACATATAAGGAGATTAAAACAAAAACACTGGATGGATTTTTTATCATTTTATGATGTTTGTGTAGAGGCACTGCCAACACACATTTCAGTACAATCAACTTGTAAAAGTGCATGTACCATTATATGACCCCTTTAATATAAAGTCCTCCTCCTATGCTTGTGTACACGTTTTTTCCCCCCGCTGCAGCTCACCCTCTGGTCTCAGCCATTAAAAAAAAAAAAAAAAAAAAAAAACTTTTTGTTTGACAAAGGTTCATAGTGCAAAAACCACGGTAAACCACGGTATCGATTTGATCAATTATGTGTTCATTGTTCATATCTGAGAAACTACTTGTAAAAGAGGCATTCTTACCTGGTAGGGGAGTAGGGGTGGGGCTTTTGGCAGCTGCTTCTTCCACTCTAAGAGGGTCAACTCTATGCTTGCGTTTCAATCGCAATTTCCTAGTTTTCTTTTTGGTCTGGTCCACTGCTCCTGATTAAAGGTGACAGATACATTGCAGTTTTTTTAAGTGATTTCAGAGGCAAAAAGGTTTCTCATGTGTCATAATAGTAAAAGCTTGTATTTTAAAATTAATTGACAATACAAAAATAGACCTTTACTCATGTATTATAGTATAATGGAGACCTTTTGAGGAAATTAGAGGTCCTACCTGATTCTGTACTCTCTGGGGTCTGTCTCTCGCTCTCTTCATCCTCCTCCTCGTCCTCCTCCTCATCATCTTGAAAGGCTGTCTGTTCTTGCACACTGTTGTGCTGGCCCTCTTCTCTCTGTCTTTGCATCTCTTGCTCTTGAATTAATTTGTCTTCAAACTGGGATTTTTATATAAAGTGAGTATTTTTTGCATCTTAATGATTTCACCCAACTTGTGTATTAAAAGAAACAATGTGACAACTAACCTCAGTAACAACATTGTTTATTGGCTGGAATGGGTTGGGCATGTTGGCATCATCTAGCTCATCCTCTTTCAGTGTCCTTCCTTCTCGCTCAGCCTCCTCTCGCTCCTGCCTGTCTCTGTCAGTGCAAAACATCTTCATTAAACTGTTGTTTGCATTTTGAACAATTTAAAGTCATAATAAAACAAGTAGAGACAGATATTTTCTTCGGTATTGCAATGTACATCTGAGCGTAACAGATTATAAAAAAAAAAAAGTGGTTAGAGGCTGCAAACATCATCAGCAGCCATTTAAAAATGGGTGTTCCCCAGGGTTCTGTCCTAGGCACTCTTCCATTCTCTCTTTACACACACAGCTCTGCGGCCTTACGCAGTTTGAACTCAACTGTGTTTTTTGCTGTAGACACAGTTTTGATGGACCTGATCGCTAAGACGGAAGAGAATCTGACATGGTGATGTTGGCATAATTCTCTCTTTTCAAATACCAGCAAGAATGTAGGGTGGGGACTTGGTTCTATCAATTAGCTATTGATTGGATTTTGTGTTGCACTCAAATGAATAGCTGCTTTTCCACTGACGGGCCAGTGCGAGCCCAGGCTAACAGCGTGCCAGGCAGGGCCTGTAGCCTCGGACCTCGAGGCCAAAATCAAGCTGCGTTTCCACTGTCGGGCCAGTAGCCCCACAATGCTACCCTAAAACCTGCCTCCATAGAACAACGTCACACAACCCCACTGTTTCACCAGCACAGGGAAGCTAGCAGACTGAAAACTAACTAGATCGGGAGTGCACATCAAACATCCTGAATCAAACAGCATATCATTATTTCACATAAAAAGTGAACATTCAGTTACACCTGCCTCAATTTATTTGTGATCACAGCAACACACAAAATAACTCCATTAAAGGGGCTATGTGTAGGATTTTACTTAAAAAATCTTTAAGATAGAGTTTTCATTTGTACATTTATGAGCCAACCATAATGTAATAGAAAGAATGACACCTTGACTGTCCACCACGGTTGCCTCTATCAGCCTGTAGGCTCAATTGTGTGTGGAGGAGTCGGGCGACTCGGGTTCGAATTGGCGCGAAAATTCCCAAAATATGACGTCATGCGCGTTCTCGTCTACTTGGGCTTACATCCGTACGGCAACCATTACTGCTAGCGATTGCCGGACGGAAAGAAGCGACCAGCCTCCAGCACAATCACGGCACTCACGGAAACTCCTCGTAAGTAAAAAAAAAAAAAAAAAAAGCCTTATCTAGTGACTGGCGTCGGGCAAAGACAAGAGTTAACATCGGAGCGGCATTTGATTCTTGGAGGGAGCTCCGGTCAGCGCTGTAACTTTTCTTACCTCTGTAAACATGCTGGTGAATCTCGATGAGTTCTCTCTGGTTGCTGTGGTCGTGCTCGTACGAGCGTGCGCACCGAGAACACAGATAACGAGGATGAGACTGGCTGCAGTTTCTCTAACGGCCACTGGTGTCAGTAACGGTTAGAAATTTCAGAACTTACGCAATGCTCCAAAGTATAAAGCCTTAAGGCCGGTTCACACCGAGACGAATTTCGCGCGCGATATTCGCCGACGTTTAACGCCTCGTGACTAAACAAAGGGCGCCAATGTGAGTGTGCACACCGACGCGAAAAACGCCACACGTAAAACCGTCATTTTTTAAAAAACGCCTCGGGTTCGTTTTTTTTGTTTGACGCACCGCGTCAAAAACTATCCGACCAATGAGATTGGTGCTTTTGCTCACGTGTCAGGAGCTTCTGAAGTTACAGTAAAACACAACTTGGGGGCGCTCAAACACAAAACGGTCTTGCCGAGCACACATACGTAACGGCGAAGAAGATATACGCCAAGTAGCGTCTACACTGCCGGGAAGAAATAGGACGAGGAAGATGCAAGGCAAGATGAATGTAGAGCTGCTGGTCTCGTTGGTGTCGGGAACAAAGAACTATATGACAAACGCGACAGCGACTACTAAAATCTTGATAAAAGAGAACTGTTATGGAGTGGTATTGCAGAGCAAATGGGCGCCATCTAATGTCAGGGAATGAATTTGCATGTTCACTCGGCTCATCCTGAGCGAAAATCGCTTGGGTGTGAACACAAAAAACGCGTTGAAAAACGCTGGCGAATAATGCGCTCCGATATTCGTCCCGGTGTGTACGAGCCTTTACACATTTAGAAAAAATGATTACAATATCATATTTTACATCACAATTTTTTTTACAAAGAATGAGGATTTCTAATAATTGTCCATGAAATTATGCGATCTCGAGGATGTTTGAGCGATCTCTCTCCCATCTCACTATACTGTTATCCCTTCAGTCAGACCAACAGATGGAGCTCACAGAGAGAAAACAGGAGTTGTGAGTTGTATGAGTTAACCGGAGTAAATGTAATTTATGACAAATGTGGATGCAGAAGTCCGGTATCAACAAAGGCACAGGGAAGAGACTGATAAATACACGATTATAACCATGTATGCTTTGTTTAAGTTCTTCAAGCAGTCTCAGGTAATTTATTTAATCATATCTGTATTTTTATTATGACAATAGTTAAAATAAGTAGCTTTTAGGATCACATATAAAAATATTTCTGCTTCATACAGTGATCAGAATCCCCATCGGATCACAATCGGAAGTTATTTCACACACTCGCTGTGGTGTCTGAAAGTGAGTTTTGAGCTGAAAATTGTTTTAAATGTCTTTAATGTTGAGGTTAGCTGTTAGCCTGATATGAAAACATGGGAAATGAGCAGCGGTGTTGACTCTCAAACGCCGCCTCTGTTCATAACCACTGCTCAAGCCCCTGTTGGCCCACTTTGGACCAAGGAATTCGGTGGGCCAAAAAACTCTGACGGTTGGCCACGATGAAGCCCCGACGAGGCACGATCAAGCCCTGAGAGTGACAATGGAAATGCAACTGACCTTGGTACGCACTAGCACGCTCACTTTTGGCCCAACAGTGGAAACACGGCTAATGAGAGCTTGTCCACTGTTCAAGGGGCAGGGTTTAAGCGGACTAAAAGTTTGGAAAAGTCCGACATTTCACCAGAGAGAAAAGCCTGTCACTTGCATGGAAGATTGAGTTTAGATTAAACATTACAAGAACAACAACAAAAAATAAACATATACATGGATGAATCATCCACAAAAAAATCTATAAGATGCATTAAACGGTACATTTTCATTTTATGCTGACTTAACTAGTAGTAGTAGTTACTAAGTAGTAACTCTGCAGTAAAACAAAGAAAAACACAGTTAGACTAACTATGAGTACACATTTGAATATAAAAGCAAATAAAACCAGCTTAGTTGATATGAACTAATTTCAGAACTAAACTACATTTTTTTTAACTACGGTATTCTTAATGACTATGCGGCTCCTGACATATCTGGAAAAGAGGGATTAGCATGACAACCCATGTGAAAAGTCTTGTTAGCTCACTGACCTCTCCTCTCTGATCCGCCTAACTCTTTCTGCTCTTTCCTTCTTGTCTTGTTCTTCCTGAGCCTTCTGCTCTGCTGTATCTCTTTGCACACGCTCTGAAATTGCCTCGTAGTCCTTGGCAATGTTATTCAGAAGCCAGTTAAGGCCATTCTTGATGGATTTGTCAACCTTCTTACCATAACCCAGCACAGCAGAACAGGGCTCCTGAGATCAGAGGAAACAACATTTAGTTCAGTTTTATATGATTGTTTTGTAGCATTTCTTTCAAGTAATTTGCTGAATTGTAAATATAAAAATAAAGCAAATTTCCCCACTCATTATTTCCACATTAATTACAAACTCAAACTGGTCTCCGGTTAATGTAAACTTTTCAAATATTAACTCACAATCTGACAGAGGCATTTATTCTCATTGACAATCTTCTCTAATGACAGGGTCTCGATGATATCTGCTTCAGCCAATGCCCCATCTTGGTCCTGTTTATTAGCCAGTCTGAAAGCCAATCAAAAGAATACAAGCTGGTCACTAGGTGTGCAGGTTCCTAGGTAAGCTGTCACAGACAAATGGCCTGAGGTCTGCACTTGAGGTGGACTGAATAATTAGCCTTGAGTTATTGAGCACTCTTGACTTATTAGCACACTTAACAAGCTATATTTAGTCAAGGACTTCATCTACTGCTCACTCCCTCAGCTAATTTGACCCACTGCAGTTTGTCCAACGCTCCAACAGATATACAGATGATGCATTGCACATTTGCTGCACACCGCCCCATTCCACTTGGGCTAGAGGCAGGAATTATGTGAGAGTGCTCTTCACTGATTGCGGCTCGACATTCATCAAACCCTCCAGGCTCGTCAGCAAACTCAAGGTCTTGGCTCTGAACACCTTCATCTTTCTGACAGGCAGGCATGGGTGGTGAGGAAGGGCTGCAAACATTTAAAAATGGGTGTTCACCAGAGTTCTATTCTGAGCCCTCTTCTATTTTACCATTTACCCACACAGCCATCAACTCCATCACGCTATTGTTGAAGCAGTTTTGGTGGGTCTGATAAGAGCTAGTAAGGATAGTAAAGAATTGACATGATGGTGTTGGTATAATTGCCAAATACCAGCAATAACAAGAAGACAATCAAAGGATTCACATGAACCACACACGCTGACAGCTTGTTTAGGATGGGCCCCAAGGTGCAGAGATCTTTTTACAGGTGTACCAATGAAATCATTCTGTCTGGTAGTATTACTGCCCGTTAGAGGAGCTGGACCATGCAAAATTGTAGAGGCGCGCACAGGGTGGTGTAGAAAGCTGAATGTATCATTTAGGATGCGCTTCCCAAAATGCAAATCTTCATAAGGCAGAATAGTACTAAAGCCAAAGAAAAAAAAAAAAGATTAAAGACTCCAGCCACCCGAACAAAAGCCTTTTACATTAATTTCCCCATTATATCTAAACACGTAATGCGGTATGCGAAGGTGGGGTATTTTACTTCTCTCCTTTCTAAACATGAATCTGCATATCTCATCAGTATGTACATATGCTTTAGGCAAAGTGGGATTTTGCACAATATCAGCATAAATCCCTATTATTTACTGGGGTAAATGCATTAAAGTAACTTGCATTTAGCATTGAAGACCAGTAATAATTACTTTCTTTTTGAATACATAACGGCGATACATAAATGTCACATTCAGACACACCCATTTAGCAGCTGTGATGCCTGATTAATGGATTAAACTGGCCCAGGTTTCTATATTTTTTAAGATTATTTGGTCACCACACCTTTATAGCTTTACTGAGTGATTGCTAATTATGTTAGTTAGAAAGAGTAACATTATTAAATGTTATTACCGTACACAACAACCAATTAGAACACATTTTATAGATGGTTTAAACATATATATTTGAAGGGCACTGCATATTTTCTTTACTTTTCTGTATATTGTGCTGATATACATGTGTTATGTATTCATTTTGTCTAATGCCTTGTTTTTATTCTATCGACAGCCATTCCATGTTTAATGAGCTGTACTTATTCCAGCCATTAAGTCACATTCAATGACAAGAACATGTCAAGTTCTGAAAACTCACACTAATACAGGTTTGCCTGCAATACGAGGGTGCCGGAGAACCTCAGCCATTGTGTCTCTGGTTTCTTGGATTCTCTGGACATCACTGGAGTCCACAACAAACACTACCCCATAAGACTCAGAGTAGTAGTTTTTCCAAATGCCGCGGATACGTTTACCGCCACCCAAGTCGAAGATTGTGACCTCAAACTTCCCCTGCTTCAGGTCCACCTTTGAGAAGCCCACTGTAGGGGCTACATCTAAAGGACTTTCTATGACAGAAATATAAACATTATGAGAATTATCCTGGATCTTATGGAGGACCGACTCTACCATATTTAAAAATAAATACAGAAATAAATAAATGCTCAATAAATAAATAAGCATACAATTAATTGCCCCAAAAAATACAATAAACAAATAAATGTAGGTAGGTAGAAATTAAATTATACAGTGAGACATAAATGTATATATCTCTTTTAATTAGCTTCTTTATTTATTCACCTTTGTAATAATTACCTTATTTATTTATTGTCTGTTATAATCTTCAACTTTATTTATTAATTACTTATTTTTTGAAGTATTTATTTATGTGCATGTTATAATATTTTTGTCTGTTTTATTCTTCCTTTGTATTTTTTTACCCTATTTATTTCTTCAATGCTATTTATTTCTGCCTGTCGTTTCTACATTTCTGTATGCATTTCTGCCTCATTATGCAAATGAGGAGGGGCTGTGTCTTAAGGGGTACATTTCCTCCCATAGAGAGCCTAAGCCCCTCCCCTCCGCTTCCGGCTCATGGGAGCGGTAAAAATATGTATGCTAGTCAATGGCGAGAGACAACTTATCTTTTTATTCCGTCTGAACTGTGCCCTGAATTACACATATGATGTTTGTCAATTTAAAAGATAATTATGAAAGTCAAGAAAGTCGCAGTTTGTCATAAAACAGAAGAGTGACATTTAGTTTTATGTGAAAATCGCTCAATGAACTAGATCTCCCGGGAAGCGAAACAACGAGCGAGATCCGCTGCTCGTGTGTGTGCAGTCTGGTACAAAACACTCCGGCATGACGGCGTAATGTTACGATTATAACGCAAGACTACAGAAACAATGACAGACGTTAGCTTCAGTAAAGTTAGCTTCATTCATTGAGAGAAAATGTGCGCCTTTTGGGTTTGTAGTCTTTTTAATTACGTATTTTCACAGTCTTATACCTCAACAGTTTTACATCAAACTGCGACTTTCTTGACTTTAAAATGTATCTTTTAAATTGACAATCAGGGATGAGTTCCCTAATGAATATTAATGAGTCTTCCCCTACCACCCTGAAAAAAAAAAGAAAAAAAAACGCGGCCGGTGGCATGTAGATTCGACCGATGCAGTAAAAGACTAACCAACCAATGGGCAGAAGTTGACCCCTTAAGACACAGCCCCTCCTCATTTGCATAATGAGGCAGAAATGCATACAGAAATGAAAAAACGACAGGCAGAAATAAATAGCATTGAAGAAATAAATAGGGTAAAAAAATACAAATGAAGAATAAAACAGACAAAAATATTATAACATGCACATAAATAAATACTTTAAAAAATAAGTAATTAATAAATAAAGTTGAAGATTATAACGGACAATAAATAAATAAGGTAATTATTACAAAGGTGAATAAATAAAGAAGCTAATTAAAAGAGGTATATATATTTATGTCTCACTGTATAATTTAATTTCTACCTACATTTATTTGTTTATTGTATTTTTGGAGCAATTAATTGTATGCTTATTTATTTATTGAGCATTTATTTATTTCTGTATTTATTTTTAAATATGGTAGAGTTGGTCCTCCATAGGATCTTGAAAACACAAAAAAATAATTAGAAGCGGGAAATAAAATTATAGTGAAGATTTACCTCCCTGGATTCCTCGGACTGTAGCGGTTTTTCCAGCATTGTCCAGTCCAACCATTACTAATGTCACTTTCCTGTAAGAACACAAATATAGCATCACTTTATTATGCATCACAAAGACCTCCCAAAGTTCAAGACGGCCCTTCTAACGAGAAATATTTTTCTGTAAAGCTTTGAGGTGCAAAGGACAAATCTAGTTTATAACACCTGTGCCAAGTACTTAAAAAAGTTTTGCATTCTTTTTATACCATTTTCAAGAAATATTTATTTAAAGATGATAAGGTTATATGAAATAACTAAAAAAATGCAATGAGGTTAAACCATAAAGTAAAAGGTAATAATAATAATAATGTGACTTAATCATTATTTTTAAATTGTTTTTCCATTCTTTTTTAAAACATTCTTAAATCTAAACGTTTTTGGGGAGTTGCACCACGTGGCCATTTTATTTCTCAACTAACCTTGCCTAAAGATTAACTAAAAGGTCTACATGGGGTCTTTTCTATTATATCATTTTCTGTAATTTGCCTGTTTCTTATAGGTTTTGTTCTGCATGGTCACACACCACATTAGATTTATTTGGTAGAAAAAAAAAGTTTTTCAAATGTTAATAAGAAATGAATTTTTCTTATATTAATATTAATTTAAGATTAAGACAAATTACTTAATACGTGTGTATTTTAAAGAATTTCATTATGAAGCTTTTTCATTTTGATATCAAGACAAATGTATCATCCTAACATTTTTTATGCCCAAAAAAATAGCAAGATATATCATCATCAAGTAATCAAAATACGATCATGAAGGAAATTTAATCTGTTTAAAGTTGCCTTCATGAACAGAACCTTTTGACATAAAAAAACCTTGACATTAACTTATGAATTCACCCACAGCTGTGAGCTAAGGCAAGCTAAGCCTGTATGTTAATGCATCATCTCATGACTAGTAAAAGCGCACAGGGATGAAGAGGATGATTCAGCATACCACACACAAAAAAAACAAAGTAAATAATGTGGCCTTTTCCAACACGAATGACGTCAAAAATATAAATTAAATGATAAGCTGTCCGGGGCTGTAGAGTCACAGCTGTTTAAACTACAAGGCTTCCAGTGGAGGCTTAAGAGGCATAAAAAGACATCTGTGTGGAGTAACACAAATATCTTGAAGTGACATGGGATTTCTGCTCACAGTCATCAACCTATGCTTAATTCTGAAGAAATGCCAGACAAACACATGGGCCAGGCGGCGTAAACAAACCTTTCAGCCATCACTGATGCAAACAAGAAAGCTAAAGTCCTTAGCTACCAAACACATACACACACAAACAGATACTTAACTGCGGCACTTGCGCCGCAGGGACATCAAGCGCACTATCCAGGTGACAGTTCTCTGCAACCAGGAGGCCTTCATTTGAGACTGAGAATAGAGCAAGATGACAGCTATAGCTTTCCCTTGACTTTTTGGTTGTTTTTGATGATAAACACACACGCTCTCTTTTGTCTCTCCTGGCCTCTGGTCAGCTCTGCATCTGAGGGATTAGCTGGGGATTTCTACTTAGCCCAACAAGATCAGTGGCAGGGTGCTAGAGGACACACTACGTTCAGCCAATGAAATTAAGACAATAACTTAGACAGTTAGCTAGTCATCAGTAAGACATAACCATAACATCACTGGCACGTTTGGGGCCAGACATCTCCACTTTAAATGGACTGATTCTTAGGTACGATCAAACATTTTACCCAGATTTAGCCTTTTCAAGCATCTTGTTTCAGGCACAGCAGGTGATGTGAGTAATCAGATATTAATCGCTTGGCTTTAAGCCTATGCCTGATTGTGAGTCATGTTCCAACGTGTATAGTGAGAGGTGCATGTAGGGCCTCTAATCAACATACAGCATCTTTATGAAAGTGGACTTAAATACTGAAATTGAAAATGACACCAGGGCTAATGCATCTTCATGACAAAATATGAATCTACTGTGTGGAAAACGAACAACATACCTTGGCAAGTGCTTTGGTGCCACCAGCAAAACGGTTCTGTTAACAGTTTTAAAACTATAAAAAATTATTCTCATTAATTAAAATAAAGCTTGAATAAAACAAATTATAAATATTAGATGAAAAACTAAAAAATAGACATGTTGGGAATTAACTTTATTTTTTTAAAACATGTACTACTTATTAGGTAATAAACATAGTTTTTTTAAATAAGTTTTTTTTTTTATGTCAAAACGTTGAATGCACCTCTTCTGTGTTTAGTATGTTTTTTTTCTGTATTAAAAATTAATCTTGATATTTTTGGGGCAAAGTAATGAGGGTGATACATTTGTCCTGATGAAATGCATAATGAAAAAGCTTCATTAAAATAATGAAATTCTTGAAAAGAAAAGCTTATTAAGTGACTTAGCTTAATCTTAATTAATATAAAAATAAATCCTTAATGTGGTGTGACAAAGCAAAATATCAAACCAATTGGCATGCAAATAAATTATGTTTGACATTTTCTAAAAAAAAAATGTTTTTATTATTACTTTTAACCAACTGGTTTCAATATCTTGTTTAGAGAATGTATTAATACCACTAAAGATGTATACTTGTCTTTCTTTAAAGTGATACTTCACTCAAAGATGAAAATTCTGTCATATTTTCTGAAGCCACATGTTCATGACAAGCGAAAGGTAACTAGAAGCTGTTACTCTGCCTAACATCTCTCTCAAGTACCAAGCAAAAAAATAAAATAATGTTTTAAATGTTTAGGTTTTGCATTTTGAAAGTTACACATTGCACTCCCCCCTACAATACAAAATAATAATAACAATTTCAAATGTACTTGGTGTATCATCACTTTCATCAGCCATGTTGATATATATATATTTTTTTTTTTTTTGCTATAAATAAAAACACAAGGCCATACAGTATAAAGAAGACAGTCGCACAGATAAGTCAAAAAACCACCCATGGTAATTTTGTGTGTGGCTTCTGTGTCCAAATACAAATTGGGAACACTACACATGTAGATGACATATACACAGTTGCACATTATAAGAATTGACAAGACTGCTCAGAAAATAATTATGTGAATGACTCTGACTCAATGGATCAAAGTTGTAGACACTCACCTTGCAGGTTCTCTCCATCGTTTCAACCAGTTGCAGCAGTTCGCCATCAGATTGAACATTTCACCCCAAGTGTTTGAACAGGGATTTATTATTTCATGACAGCCGTTTTGCCTGATTACTAAAGTTCCTGACTAATTTCTTTCCTTTGTGTTTTAATCAACCCGTTATCTGGTATCACTCTTTTATATGCCTATCTTGGACTCGTGATTTGAGTAAAGACATCTTGTTGTATCATTCTAGCAGAGAATAAGGGCAGAATAAACTAAAGATTAACAACTAAGTTACATTGTTTAATTTTCACTTACAAAACTGACCATAGAGTTTAGTTTCATTTTGCTCACTACCCGAATCAATGCACCCGCACTGAAGGCTAACAAGTTAGCTACTGCATACGATCCATGAAAACTATTGAATTACATTCTTATGTCTTTAGATGGAAAATCGAATTATACAATAACTATACTGTTTCAAAGACGTCCCGGTGAATGCTTTACTCTCAATTTTAGACCGTTTTTTGTTTTGTTCTGCAAAAAGATGTAACGGGATAACTGTTAGCTTGCTAGCAGTCCGCTTTGTTGACCAAGCTGAATTTGGCTGCTATGGCTGCAGCCACAAGCTCGTCTAGGGTCGGGGTTGCCAAGTGTTTTAAAAAGAATTTATGATATGATGTAAACTATGAAAAAATAATTAAATTAAAACTTTCTTTGTAAGCTTTCAACATATGTGTGTACTAGGACAACTTATAATCTTTACACCGAGACCCTTATGATACTGCGTCGATCGAAGTGGCCGAAAAATGTCAGTCTGTGAATAGTTGACTTGGCAACACTGTACTTGCCTAAGAGTAACGTAATCTAAAATGTGAACAGTGCCTCCCGTGGACGGAGACGTAGCAAACAGTAGGTAATTAAAAATGAAATGAAAATTGTCACATTACATAAACGGTTAATATAAATTAAAACATTATGGTGGCACCATTCTGTCTGCGAGACCAAGAAAAGTAATATCTGAATTTTTTCCCCGTCTGGGCATGCCAACGATATCCAAAGAATCCATGTCTGTTTGTTTACAATAAACCAACAAACTCAAATCCCCCTAAAATGTGTTTATTAAGGACAAAAAAGCTCTCAATATATAAAACCAGTCACCCAATCCAATCATATACAATTTAAACTCTTCAAACATTTACAGAAGATACAAAACAAAAACATAATAAATAAGACTGTTACTGCTCATAAATGGAACAGCTTTAAACGTGCCTCTATTTGAGACAAATTAGTCCTCCCCTTAAGATTTTTTTTTGTTTAAAGAGAAGTCCTTTAGAATATGTCATGACAATGTTCGCTGAGGCTTTGTGGCACATGTACACTCCTCCATTAACAGGAATATCTGCAGTTGTAAAGACTAGGCCTTCCCAGCAGCACCAGCCTGCTGTTATAAGCCAACAGTTCTTCTGATCCCAACTGATCCCAAGTCAGTCCATCATTTAAAGACTTGTGTCTTTAATTCTTCTCAAGTGACCCCTGACTTAAACAGAAGCAACTTAATGACATTTGCAAAATATGCAATCAATGACAATTTACAATGGTTCACATATCAAGGTTAAAAAAAAAGAAAAGAAAATGTTTAAAGTGTGCTTGCCATACTTTGAGTGGCCTATGAATTTCTATCCAGTACTTCTGCTCATAAAGCACCATGTAACACTGGTAGACACCTGTCACAAAACAGTAAAGTTAAACCTTCCATTAAACGCCAGACTGATCACAGCATTTTGTGCTTTCTAGAGCAGGTATATAGCCTGAATAGAAAGACTGACCAAATCCTCTTGTAGTGTTTATGGTCCTTGGTGGCCTCTCATTACCAGGAATTGAAAAAAAAAAAAAAAAGCAAAAATGAGAGAACAGACGAAGCTTTTTGACAGAAAGTGATGACAAGTATTGAAAAGCATCTGCTGTGCATTTTATAGAAAGACAAACTTACTATTTTACTAAGCAGTTGGCGATTAAGTTAAAAAATAAAAATAAACGATTTTCAACATCAGAACTTTTAACAAGAGATAACAGACCTATGCTCTAAAATAAAGCAGCTGATCGGTCATACAAGACTACAAGGAGGCATAACTCGTTTCCCATGTGGATCTCAATATAGTTCAGTTTTGAGATGGTGACGAAGATGTTAAGCACACATGTAGGAACGCTGATTGCCTACAGCAGCATTTATCAGTTTTCCCAGTAGAAAGACCTGCTTCTCTTCATGTAGCACCTATGACGACAAAAATAAAATATTTAACAAACTGCAAAAATTAAAATAACCTTAAAATCAATAACAAAAAGGTACTTACTCTCATCATCCGAATCAAAACCAAAGAGGGATGTGCATTTGTCCTTGTGTGTTTGCAGCTCTTCCTCACTGTTGAAAGATTCAAAACATCGAGAGCAACGTTGCCTGGTAGGAAGTTTTACTGGCTTTGACACTGAGCCCAATAACTTTGAGCCCACCTGGGGTTCCTTCCAGCGTTTTGGCATGCTAATGTACGACTCATCTAGATAAGCTGAGGGAAGGGGTCGAATGAATTGTTTATTTGCAGGTTTTCCTGAAACGAGTGGTTCCTGCTCTTTAATGACTGGATCTGAAGTTTTGGCAGAAACTTCTTTGTTACTCTCACTATTCCCATTAACAAGGCTAGGGTTCTTGCTACTGTAGCTAACAGAACTTTTATTGAGGACCAAGGGCTTTCCATCATCATCTTGATTTGCAGATGTAGGGCCCTTCCACTTGGCTGCACCCTGAATCGGTTGACTGACTGAAGAATTTGCTACTGCCTCCATACTACCTTCCAGAATTTGAAGGGATCCATGCCCTGTTGGTTCAGAATCTTTGGGGAATGCATTTATTTCCAAATTTGCATCAAGCCGATAATGTGTTTTTTCATGCTTATAAAGGAGCAAAATAGTCTCAGCTTGCATTGAGCAACCAGGAAAGCAGCACATCGCTCTCAATGGATGATGGACTAGAATGTGCTCGCTCAGTTCTGTACGTGTTTGGTACCTTTCCTTGCAGCCGTAATGGTAGCATGGGAACTTCAGCTCACCTCTGTGGCATATCACATGGTCAAAAAAATGCTGGGGATTATATATCTTTCTGCAACAGAAAAGACATTTTTCCTTTCCAAAATTGAAAAAGAACAGAAGCGCTTTCTTGTCGCCATGGTGGTGTGACAGCACATGTGAAAGGACAAGGATTGACTTGGCACTAAATGTACAAATCTCAACAGGGCATCTAACATGCGTAGATGCACCAGTTCTTTTTCCCTGGAATGGCGTGGAAGGCTGTTTGGACTTTGTCTGAGTCCCATTTTTATACCCCACCACATTAATTTCCTTAAATTCTGTATTATTGTCTATGGGTTCCTGGTTCTCAGAACTGTCTTCTGGACTATTTGTCATCTTCCTCCTTTTTATAGCTTCTCCATCCTCTTTTTGGTCTCCAGGAGTAATCTTCTTCTTTTTTAGCCTAGAGTTCACAATTTCATCTTTTCTTTTAATTTTTGATTTGCTCTTGTCTTTTCTTAGTCCTACATTCTTAGATTCAGTCTTGACATTGTCTTTCTGACTTTCTGCACATTCTGGATTTTCAATTTTCTCTTTGTTGTCCTGTGGTAATGTCTCAATTTTCTCTTTGTTGTCCTGTGGTAATGTCTCAATTTTCTCTTTGTTATCTTGTGGTAATGATGTCTGATTATTTTCATTTGAGGTATTTGTCTCAGGCACACTCTTAACTTTCCTTTTCTTTCTGATCACTCCATTTACCCTATGAGCTGAATTCCCATTGGAATCCAACTGTTTGTCCTCTGGAGTTTGTGCGTGCATAGCCTTTGGTCTCTTCCTTGCTAGTTTCATATTGAAAAACTTTTTGTTCTCATCTGTGGGCTGAGATCTCTTAGCTAAAACCCTCCTTAGACATTTTGTCTTCATCTTGCAAGCCTTCTCCTTTTGTTCATCCGATGTACTTGGGGGATCTGAATTCTTGACCAACCTTGTCCGCAATCTAACCTTAGGCTCTGTGCTTTGCCCTTCCTTGTGCAAATCTGTGATGTTCAAACTGCAGTTTAACCTCATTTTGAGGTTTCTAAACTTATTCTTCACACGTTTAAACAGTCTCTTCTCGACACATTGTGAGGCGGCCTCTGTGGTATTCTCACAAACAGTTTCAGTAAAAAGCCCATTAGACTTTTTCAGTTCCTGAATGTGCACTTTAAAATGGATTGATGGGCTGCGCCCATGAGTGTAACGTTTGTGACAGAACATGCACTTTCTGTCAATTCGGTGATGCCACAGTGCATGCCGTAGAATGTGTGGGTTTTTGGTTTCTTTATTGCAAAGGCTGCAGGTAACTGAAAGCTGGCAACTTGCATCACTTGCGGGGATATGGTCAGAGACTATACCATCAACAGCTGCATGCATATCTGGTGATGTCTCCTCAGGTCTTGATGGCACCACTGGCACCTCCATCCTCTCAGGCACAATTTTAGTGTCAAGAGTGTCAATCTCAGTTTCACTAAAAGTAGCCACTGTTTCATCAGGGAGCATTGTCTCTTTAGTAAGAACTGGAGGAGCATGCTCATGAAGAACCGTCATGTTTGCTGGCGTACTATGAGGTACAGGAATGGTGTCGGCTCTGGTGTCAGTTGTCACTTCTGATAAAAGATCAACATTAATATTTTCTGCAGGACTAATAGGACTGTAAGGACCATAGTCTGGATATTTAGTGTCTGCATCTTGGGGAATTGATAACTCACTATTTACTTTTGGATCTTCAATTAATTCTTTAACTGGCTCAAGAATAGCTTCAACTGGAGTGGATGTTTCCACATTTACAGCTGGGATTGGTGTAGCCATGCGTTCCACTACATTTTTATCCTGTGTTGCAGCTCCCAGGCTCTCTGTTGGTTCAAACTGTTGCTCAGCAGACTGTGGTTCTTGTTTGGATTCATTATGGTCCAGATTAAATTCTTTATCTCGGTGTAAACGGTCAACTGATATTCCTTCCAATTCAGCTTGTCTTGAATATGTGTGGAATTTTCGAACCATAGAAAGGCCTTGTTCCCAGAAAACAATCTCCTCCCGCACCTTGAAGTCTTTTTTGCTACATGGAGTAGATTCTGCTGATAGTAACTCAATAAGAGACGCATTACTGTCAGGCCATTTCAAAATCTCTTGAATTTTGTTAGTACTGCTTTCAGAGATATTAGGGGTCTCTGTGGAAAACAGTGAGGCCTGAACATCAGAAGAGAGGTCAACTTCATTATCAGGATATGAAAATTTCATTGTGACTTCACTGATTGCTGTCTCAAGTGAAATCTCCGTCAAAATATTTGACCGCTTTGGTTTCCTTCCTGGTTTCTTGGCCTGTCGAGGTTCACCGTTTTCTGCTTGGGCAGCTAACTGGTCCAAAAGCCATTGTGGTTTCCTGCCCTTGCGTTTCAGAGTGTTCATCTCTGTCTGTCGGGAAAGTAGTCTCTGACGCCTGCTATTAAGTTGCCTGGTGTGATTCTTTGCCAGGTCCAATTGCCTAAATGAACGTCGAACTGGAGAGGCCTCTGAATCTTTAACAAGATGTGTCCCTGGCTTCCTCCCCCGCCTTTTGCCTGGAGGTTTGGAGGATGCTTCCTCTGAGGCAGAATTAACCCATGTTTTCAATGACTCTGCTTCCTGGTCATTTCGGTTTGTATGTTTCTCTGCTTTATTAATAGTCCTGTCTGTGTTGTCTGCGTGACACTGACAATATCCTTTCATACAGTAACTTGGAATCCACTTGTCCTTTTGCATGATTTCACATAAGGCTGCTTTACCGACCTTATCACTCATTAGCTTCAGACAGTTTGTCTCGATATTGATAATGCTCCAGAACTCAGGGTCAAAGTACAGGTCTTTTTTCAGGATCTGGAGAACCTCAAAGCGTACACTGTTACCCACAAGACTGGTGTATGCATGGTACTCTTGATCAGGGTGAGTATATAGGAGGAACACATTCTTGTATGACTCAACAGTTCTCTCTTGGAAGAAAACTAGCAGCGCACAAGCCCTACAGACCTCAAGGTCATTAGGAAGTAGGTATGCAATGGTTTTGTAGATGAGGGACTTGGTGACTGGATCATTCTTAAGGTCAGTCTGCAAGGCTCGTGCACAAAGCTCCACACAAATCCCCAGGCCATCTTTTCCAAGCTGAAAAATAAATATTTTATTGCCATTATAAAAAGACCATTCCATAAATATTGACATATGGTGTGTTTGCTTAGATGTTTGTCTATGTCTACAATTACAAGTTTAATACAATAAATGAATGATAAAATAATATCTTACCTCTGCCAAAATCACCTTCATAAATGGGAAAATCGCTTTTATGTTGGTGACTGACAATATCATTACTTTGCATTCCTCTAGGAAGTTCTGTTTAGAAAGGTTCAACCGCAAGTAGAGTCTGCTCCATATGAAGACCAAATCCCTTTATGGAAAAAAAGGAAAAAAACAGGAGAATGTAATTTTCTGCAACCTCAACACTACCTTCTGTTCAGGTTGTTGCAATAACTGTGTAAAAAATATAAAATGCTAAAAAGAGGGGCAATACACTGAAAACAATTCCCCTTCTAAATGTTTATAGAGCTATTGAGACCCACCAAAGGTAGTACATGTCTCCAATCTGGAGCTTCTGAGATAGGAAGCCTTTACTCAGCATCAAAACAGTCTCAGCTTTCTCTTCATTCTCCATCATGCAGAGTATCTCTACAGCATCCTTCCCATCGATATCTGCCATCTTTAGAAAAGAAAACAAGAATGTAATTTTTGACATTGCTCATGAAATATGGTGATCTTCCATTATGTCAGAAAAAACATCACATATATTTGGAAATCTTTCTTGTCACTATATTTATAGCTTCAGCTTTGTTTATATACAAACAACACACTACCTTCCTACACCTGAACAGACCACAAAAAAACGTATTTCCTGTGATATTGCATTGATTTACAGTAAAAATATGTAATTAGCATGATACAACTGCATGCCCTATACTTTATGTATAATTTTTTTTTTTTTGCTGTGCCAGTTTATTGGCCAACTTCACACTGGCCCTCTTAGAAGCATACAAAAAAAATTATACGAAAGACTATAGAGATACAGGTATATACACAGACAGTTCAGTAATGAGTGGGAGAAAGTGCACCGTGCATATATGGCGGAATACGTCCCACCTTTATAAATAAAAGAGCTGATTGATAAAGTCACTGCAGCTACCGTTAGAAGCTCCAGTTCCCATAGACCATTTCAACAGCTATTCGTTATTTTAAGGAAGTGACGTCTTTGGCCCTTGGACATTTCTGGTTAGCTGTCAAGCGCATTCAAAACATCGGTGTAAGGCGCTTAATGAACAGTCGGATTGCGATAATTTTATCCAGCAATTAAAAATGTCAAAATTAAAATTACATCCATGTTGCTCAGTGGTTGGATGCATCCTCAGGCCTGCAACTAAGTTACTTTAGAAAATGAAAAAACGATGTGATGCCTGGATTGCAGCAGTGAAGCGAGAAGGCTGGATACCAACTAGCAACTCTAGGTTATTCAGCACACATTCTGAGGCCCCGTTTACACGAGACAGGGTTCCTACACATTTTCCATTTCAAAATTCCATACTTTTCCAGACTCAAATTTCCAAACCTCTTCTGTAGATTTTCAGACCGTATTTAAAGTGCCCCTATTATGCTTTTTCGGATATTCCCTTTCATGCAATGTGTAATGCAGCTTACTGCAAAGTTACGAAGACAAAAGAGCACACGTAAAATAAAGTTAATGTTTCTAAAAAAGAAAGAATCGACTCTGACCCGCCTAAACAAGTAGTCAGGAATTTGAATCTTCCGTGAGGGCTACACGTCACTGGGTAACACATTTGCCGAATGCCTACAACCAGTGGTTAAAGTGGGATTTGGCAGGTGCCAGGTGGGGGAACCCTCAAATTTTGCGTAGGTGCAACAGGGAAAAATGACTCACCGTGGGACAACATATTGAGTATCGTGGTATAGCAATACTTTTTGGGACAAGAGTGTCACTGTGGCACCAAGTATCACACTTATTGACTTGATATTTTAATGGTTTTATTTTGGTCCATCAACACTGATATGATGACTATACTATATGTTAAAATTGCTGAACACTGGGACAAAAATTTAGCCCTGGCACTGTAGCCACCCCCCTCACAGCCCCACCCACACAGACATGTGCATTTAGATGTTAGGTAGTTAGGGGGGTTGGGGGGTATGCTCCCCCGAGAAAATTTTGATTTCTCTGACCTACATTTGTGCAATTTAAGACTTTTGAAGGCCAAAACAATGGATAACAAATAGCTTTAAAACCATGTCAGTGCGGGCATTAGATTATTTGTCAATACCTGCTCTCTCCTCATCTTCATCTTTCTTTTTCTCTCAGTCTCCTTATCCTGCCCTATTTCTACCTAAACCCCCTGAACTTTGACTGATAGTTTTTTCATTTTCATCTGTGTCAGTGAAGAAAGTAAACATAGGCTCAACTGATATTTATATGTTTTAATAATCATTTTCTTAGATAAGTTAATTTACTCAAGGCTACCAGGTTAGTATTGCCAATAGGAACCTTCTACAAGCTTTGGAATTCGAAAAGTAATTTTAAATAATACAAATTATAGGCTACGTTTAACGCAGTTGGTGGAATTGGCAGACGTTCCCTTAAGGCCCGTTCACACCAAGCACGATAACTATAAAGATAACGATAAAGATAACTGTATATGCGTCCACACCAACGACTGATAACGGTCTTTTTATTCTAAGCACGGACGCGCCCGCGCTGCGGTTTCAAAGTAGACCTTTAAATTAGAATGGATTCTGATTGGCTGTCAGTGTTTTATCGTTCGACAGCTGGAAAAAAAAATCGTTCTGAAAGTGATCCCAACGATATCGTTCCTCATATCTTTATCGTTATAGTTGTGGTGTGAACTCTTATTCTTTAATATGGAGAACGATTTTTAGAATTATATCTTTATCGTTATCTTTATAGTTATCGTGCTTGGTGTGAATGGGCCTTTAGGCCTCATGCGTTGTGGAAACGCATCAAAGCATTCTCAGGTATAAATATGCAGCATTAATGCACATAGGTGATTTTGAACGAATATTTAATGTCGATATACAATGGTTACATAATGTTAAAACTATACCTGCTATTGATATCTTTGTAAGACTGCCGACCCTATAGAACAGTGGCAAGGGAAACCAAATGTCTGGCGAAATATCGAACCTAAAACTAACTTTACTATGATCGCTCGCGTTCGGACAATTCGTTTGAGAATCATTGAAAAATGTGGTGATGTACAATGTATATTATGAGAAAATGAAAGCAATTGTTGTAGGAGATCTCCAAAGCAAAATTAGTATTTTCACCAAAAAAAAATGGTTTTAAAACAGTTATTTATATATTTTGCTGCAGTGTCAGTAGGAAATTTTAGTTTGCATTTCCAAACATTATTTTGCCATTGTAATAATCCAGTGAGCTTTTTATATAAGGAGTCTGACAACAGCTAGTGCTCCACACGTAGATCTGATCTCACCTTCATCGAGTCCATCTGCGATTACATGAAGAAACAGAAAAAAACTACTAAATCCAGAAGAACTGTGGCAACGTCTCCAAGACTCTTGAAGAAATCTTCCTGAAAAGCTATATGCAAGTGTACCAGGACAACAGCTGTTTTAAACGCAAAGGATGGTCACACCAAATATTGATTTGATTCAGTTTATAGAAGCTAATTGATAAATAAAATCTATTTATGACATTATTTTGGAAAGCATCCTCACTTTACAGCATTTTTACACAAGTGCCTAAAACGTCTCACAGTACTGTAAGTTTGCAGGAAGGTTTCAAGCATCTTGGAGACATTGCTGCAGTTCTTCTGGATTTAGTCTCAGTTTCTTCTGTTTCTTCATATAATCACAGACAGACTCGATTATGGAGAGATCAGATCATACCGGCTCTTGTCACTCCTTGTGCAAACAAAAAAATCTCACTGGATTATTACCATTAATGGCAAAATAAATGTTTGGAAATGTAAGCTGACATACTACAGAAAAATATATAAATAACTGGCTTATAACCTGCATTTTTGCATGATGAAAAAGTGCACCTTGAATTCATTCAGTCATTTATGACAATGACTAAATAGCTGCCTTGAAAACACACTTCTTGTATGATAAATTTGTTTTCATTAAATTCTTAATTTATTATTATAGAAAACTAAATAGGGTCAATAGACTGGAAATGCAAATATTTTTCCATACTCTGCTTTCTGTTTTCCATACTTTTCCAGACCTGGAAATTACTCAAATCAAATTCCATACTTTTCCAAACTGCGTAGGAACCCTGACGAGAACGATTCCGGGTGAAAACGTAAAAAATATTTTATCGGATGTGCCTTTCGTTTACACGGCAACGGCGTTTTGGGGACTTAAAAACGCAAAAAAGTGAAACCGCCCTCCACAGTGGAAATCTTAAAAACGCTCCACCCGTTGTTGCAATGTTCCCGTCTAAACGGTAAAAAACGCAAATCTGCTCACGGTGGCTCTCGTCGCGTACGCCAGAACAGGAAAATAACAACCACCATGTATGATTATTTCCATACGTCGGACCTTCAAGTTGCACTAGCAGCTCTGAAAAACATACAAGAGTCTTTTCAGCAGTTGTACAAAATATTCTAAGATATCGGTGTTGTTGTGGCAGTGCTTCACATTGCCACCTAGCCGCCTGGAGTGCATACTACATCAAATTTCACACACTTTTGCGTTACCATATGCACGCGGATTTCCCAACCATAACGCTCGTCTAAACGCAGAATAAAAAGTGATAACGCAACGCCACTTTTGCGTTTTCTCTTCAGATCGTTTCCGTGTAAACATAGCCTGAATGTCAAGTAATTGTTTGATTGGTAAGTAAATTACATTTTCCATTGAATTATTTATATTTCTTTACGTTAACTGTTTAAGTATGATGCAGCATAATTTGAGCTAGCATTGTGGCTCCATCATTGCTTACATATGTAGCTATTTACCTTGCGTTTTGATACGAGTGTAGTGAAAAAAGGCCAAGTTTTTATTTCTGTTTCCTTTTTAAATTTTCTTTGGGCTATAATTAGGAAAGAAGCAGTTCACATTAGTTAGCTATTTAGTCAGATGACACATGCAATTAGTATCACGTTACAGTAAATGTATTGTGCAACAATGGCTAACAGGATTTCTTTACAAGTGATAAAAGTTATAAGCTTGGCTAATGTTAATTCCAAAATGCACTGATGCATTAAACAACGACAGTAGTATTTATAAAGATTGTACATTAACCAGATTAAGTTAAATAATAATTGTTTTTCTACTTTTGTCTTTAGGAAAGCCATCAGATGACCCCATAAATCCAGACTACAAAAAGGGTTTAAAATAAAGATTTTCATGCTTGTTCAATTAACCACACAATTATTGCACAGCTTAGGACACTAAAGAGACCTTTCTGCTGACTCAGGGTCCCTGATCACCTGCATGAACATAGTCCTGCTGCATGAGGACTGTTGCCAGAGCAATAAACTGCAATGTCCGTGACGTAAGACGCCAAAGACAGTGCTACAGGGAGACAGGATTCAGCCGATCATCCTTGCAGGACATTCCACGCGTTACGTCAGTTTATGTCTCGGTTGTTAGCGGAGTATGTGTGTGTTGTGTTGCATATCTGTATGTGACTGTATACTTTAAAACCAT